TTTGACTCCAACGACATTAGTCAAAATATTTCCCTCTTCTTTTTCTTCTAAAGATTATCCAGTTAATACTATAATATGCAAAAAAGGGCAATCATGTTAATAAGCACAAAAGGATTTAAATGCTTAATACCTTGTGCTTTCCACTTTCTATATGAATAATCCAGACATCTAACTAATCACAAGGGATGATCTCATGAATTGTCTAAACCAAGACCCTCCAATGGTTTAGTGAATGTGTCGGGCAGTTGTTTCTCAGTAGTCACATACTCCAACTCTAGTTCTTTATCTTCAACTAATTCCCTAAATAAGGTATGATGTCTATGTGCCCTGTTTGTGAATATTGAACTGGATTTTTTGGATATGTTAATGACATTAGTATAATAGTATTATCACATAATAGAGTATAGTATCTTGTTTCAACTCATAGTATGAGGGCATTTGTCACATTCATAAAAGTTGAGTTCAACAACTCCTAGTTGCAATATATATATTGTCTCAGCAATAGATAGTAAATCAAATTTTGTTTCTTACTTAGCCATGATATGCGAATTTCTCCATCTACTTGTCCCTCCTCAGTCCTCACTTGGACCTAGAGTTATAATCTAGGCACTCAAGAATCTATAAAGCCAGTTTCCCTAAGCAAGCTAGATTAAAGTCTCTTGCCTTTCTAAGCAGTAAGCACCAACTAATAAAGGGTAAATTAAGAATAGTAAAATGTTAGTAGTGTCTAAAAGACTAAAAGATAAGTTTTATTACAAGATAGTATATGTGTTCTATAGGTTTTCAAACATTTTTAGTCCAAAGAATATAAGCTCCCACCACTGGGGTTCAAACCTATTACTGTCCCTTTAGAGTGATAACCGGGATGCCATCACATTATGTGATAGCTGGCATCTAAAAAAAGGAAGTAATTTGTAAAAGTTGACAATACTTTTAAATGGATTAAAAAGGAAAGTAAAATAAATAAAGTGAGAGGATGTCTTAAGCAACGACTTGAATGGCTAAATCCATTATCTCGTCATCGAATATGTCAAAATTGATACACAAGTATATGAAAATTAACTTCCCCCGGGTGAGCTTTTCTCTTATCCTCTTTCTCGCCTGACAAAAAAGTCCCTATAGATTTTGTCAATATCCTTGCATATCCCAACTGAGAGGGCAAACACTTGTATTATTGTGTAAACTGACATAGCTGATAAATATTATTTTTGTTGTTATTTTTAATAATCTTTTTATAGTTAATTTGCAATAATTAATTAATTTTATATTTATTTTTATTTATTATTGTTATTATTAGTAGCTTTGATAGTTATTCAATTTTAGGTTGTTTTAATTATTAAATTTGTCTATTGTTTGAATTCTGTCAGTTTAATAATTCATTGATTCTAATTTAATTATAATATTATTAATTTTAGTAGTACATGTTCAGTAGGAGTTTAATAAAGGTAGATTAGTTATATATGATATCTAATAAGATTATTATTATTATTATTATTATTATTATTATTAAGAAAGAAGGAGAGACACAACTTGGTCAGTAAACGCAAATCAGAATCGGACGGCATAGCAGCAAAGTCTTCCAACAAATCTAGTCTTTCGGGAGATCCTATTGCAGCGCTGAACGACCGGAGCAATGGTGGTGAGGAAGTTCGGAAGTCATTGATTCGAAACAATATAAAGCCGGCAATAATAAAGAAGGGATGTCAATTTGGCTCCGGACCAATTCCGGAGGCTTCTGATCGGCGACTGATTCTGGTGTTCGGCGGTGACGAATTCTTCCGGTACCAGCTTCAAATTCTTCCTTTCAGCGGCGGACGTCTCTAGTGTTCAACGGCAACAATCAATCTGAGCATTAAAGTTGGTTGGTAGCAGCGTTAATTTATAGAAGGCAGTAGCATTATTTTGATTCAATTCTTTTGCTCTTTAATTTGAGTTGCAATAATTAGTAATTACCTTTTCAATTCATTCTGTTAGTGTGAAATGCTAATGACAGTGATTAGTGCCTAATATTTGATTACAATACTAAGTTTAATGTTTAGTCCTTAATTATTTACTATCGCGATTCTTTTACTTTAATTGATTCATGTTCTTAGGCTCTTCCAATTTAATTGTTATCTGATATTTTTTCCCGGTAATTCATTTGTTCTTTTTCTTTATGCTTAGCTAAATTATTTTCCCTAGGAATATGATGATTTTGCTATGAAACCTTTGCAACAGTTCTAGTATTAATATTGTCACTTTACTTATATTTTATCTTACGGTTAGAATTGAGATTAATTGAGTTAAATTTGGCCATTTTAGCTTTTATTCCATGCTTTTTAATTTAGCTTTCATCACTTAGCTTCTTGAATTTTAATTCAATTGTCTTGCACTTGAGTTGATTCTTGTCTTTGATATGTGTTCCTGGCACTTTAAATTGTTAATTTAATTGTTTTATCTTAACTTTGGCATTTGATTCGAGTACTTTAGAACATTTCATTTAATTATTTTTTAAAGTTTAGTTGTTAAATTGCATTGTTACAATTCCTTGTGGGTTCGACCCTTGCTATTACACCCTATTACTATAGTGATTCGTGCACTTGCGAGGACATAAATATTAAAATTGTCCATCAATAGCGGAACGTGCTGATTAGACTAACGTCCTTTGCATTGTCATACCCACCAAGTCAACCTTTCAACTGACCAATTTTTTCCTCATGTCCTAAAAAAATAAAAGATAACTTGCCTTTAAAGACCCGTTTCTACAAGATGTAAACTCCCAAAATTTATATGTCGAGATTAATACAAGAGTTCTACTACATGTATTCTCAAATTCTACTTATTCACTTTTACTCCATGACAATGGCAAAAAACGATTGACTATTTTCATCATGTGAATCCCAAAAAATGTGTCTACATTAAGAATTTGTGAGAAGAAATAAAGTTTGGAGTAAGAAATGGGACGGCATGTAGTATTTTTCTTATTTCTTAATACAGTCTTAACACATTCAAGTGTATAAGAATCCACACTCCTCCCATTTGAGACAAAACTTTTGATAAAACAATTTGACTTCTTCATACATTAATATACTCACTATCTTTCCCATGTAACTTGACCATTTGGAATTTGAATTGAACTAGCTACATGACCTCCAGCTCACCACCCAAAAACAATGATAGATATATATATCAAAACAGTTTAAAAGAATTACCCCTGAGAACACAACATCCCTAGCAATGAAAAAAAAAAAAAAAAAAAAAAAAAAAAAGCAATTCTTTCTTAGAGCATCATTATCAGTGGATTATATGAAATTTTTGGAACAATGTTGAGGAATGTGGCGGATAGAGAGTACAAGAAAGAGAAGAAAGGGGTGCAACTGCAAGGTTGGAAATATTTGCAGCGCGGATGGGACCCACGCGTGAGGAAAAAAGAAATCCTCTAAACTCACTACCACCGCGTGATGAGTGTCACAAGAGCGCCTAGCGGGCGCGTGCAGGCGCACCTGATAGTGTATTTTATTATTATTATTTTTTAAATTCAGTTTTACTTTTTTTTCTTTTTTTTTTTCCTTTTTTTCTCTCTCTTCTCATATTCTTTTTTCTAATCACACTTACAAATCCTAAAAAAAATCACACAAAAAAATCTCACTATTATAAATGCTCTTAGAGGAATTTCACCGAATAGTAAGCAGTCAATCTAGAATTACGAAGTTAAAGCTGAGTTGAAACAAGTAAAGACGGCAAAAATTAATGCCCACTGCAGAAATCGATCAACTTTAGTTCCTAATGTTACTTCTAGTGATTGTCCATCGATCTGCCAATAAAAGCAAAAAATGAATTGGAAAATGACTCAAAAAATTGCAAATGAGGTTTTGACTTTCACGTGGAATCCAATAAACTCTGCATAAAGTTGATGACATCCAAATATGCAATGGTCAATGGAGAATCTCTAAGCATATTATAGCTAGAAAGATGCCAAAGCACTCCAGTCTTCTTCCTGCCCCCTTACCCCATTCATCATTTATCATCTCCATTCTGAATATTTTTGTTTCTACTTATGATTGATTATTGGGATATGCTTCTGCTGTCAATCATTGAAGAATTTCTTTGGAGGGTGAATCCAAAATTCTTTCTTTGACGGTAGACAAAAACACAGACTTAGCTCAATAGTTCAGTGGAAGAAAATAAATTTTAAGAACATTTCAATGAGTTAATAATATTAAGCGCACTTTAACTGAGCTATTTGAGCTTACATGCCAATCAATTCAATTAATTTGGGTTATGTTTTTTGGTTAATAATTTAATTATTTGATAAATATTTAGTTAAATTATATACTCCAATTTAAAGTATTATAGTTGTGATATGATCATGGAACATAATGGTAGGTCAATACTTTTTGAATAAAGTCTTTATATTATCTCAAATATTTAATTATTAATATTAAGATAATACTAAAAAGTTTGGACTAAAGCTAGAGTCCTACATTCTCGTGACAAAAAATGTGAAATCGCCCATCTCAAGGGCCCTCACACACCGCTCAACAGGCAGCTTCGTCGGACTAATCCCAACTCTTAAGCCCACAGGACCTCACCTAGGGATGTAAATGAGTCGAGCAGCTCGTGAGCCCTCGGTCAAAGCTCAACTCGAGCTCGGTCAACTTCGAACTCGAGCCGGGTCGTTTCGTAATCGAGCCGAGCTTAAGCTCAAATGTTTTAGGCTTGTGCCTCGTCGAGCTGCTCGCGATCCATATATATATATATATATATATATATATATATATATATATATATATATATATATATATATAGTCTAACCGTTCGGTCAAAGCTCAGCTAAAGCTCAATCAATTTCAAACTCGAATGGGCTCGTTTCATAACCGAGCCAAGCTCGAGCTTTAATTTTCGAACTCAAGCAGTCTTCATGTGCGCACAAGAGATTCAATCCCTTCATGACTTTTAAGTTTAATTACGAACCAATTACGTTAAGCCACTGAAGCTGGAGTCTCACATTCTTACCACTATAAATATTGGCCCTCGTTTCACTGATAAATAGTTCTCTCTGCAGTTCTTTTTTGAAGATCAAGCCTGCCATTTTATACGATAGTCATTCATATTTATATGTATATACACACACAATCAATGACCTTAAAATGAGAAGGCATCTCAGACAGACCTGAGTAGAAATATATATTACATAAAGACAGGCCGGAACTAATGAACTATGATGAATCGTGTAAAAGGGGATCTAAAGGCTGATGCTTTATGCATTTTTCTTCCAAGAAGGATAAAAACCAGTAAAAAGCTCCAGCAGAACCGAGGCCAAAGAACCAAGCAATGTTATAAATTGCCGTAAAGAAACTGGGAATGTTCTTCAAGATCCCAACACTTTGCAAGAAACCAGGGATGCCAGGCAAAACCCCAATCACCAACGCCATGATAGCCACCAAGTTGTATCCACCACAGTAGTAGTAAGCACCATATGGACTCCTGGAATACAAATCCTTAATCCTCAAATCCATGCCCTTAACCAGATAATAATCTGCCAAGATTATGCCCCCGACGGGCCCCACGAACACCAAGCACCCAACCAGCCATGTGTTCAGATAGCTCTCGCTCGACTGCATCAGCCTCCATGGCTGGAACCCAATCCCAAGCAATGCTGTCACCACTGCACCTCTCCTGAAGGTGAATCTTGAAGGGCAGAGGTTTATTAAACCACCAGCTTTCACATATGACCAAATGAAAAGCCAAACCACAAGTGCTACAAGGATTGGTGCTGAGTAATTCTCCAGTTCTCTAATCCCATTAATTCCAAAAAACACACTTGCCAATTGGACTACCCAAAATACAATAAAACAAGTGAATTCAATAACAGACGTGCCAAGCCAAGAAACAGGCTGGGAAAAAGATGAATCTTTGATGGTTTTGGGGAGGAGAATGAAGATTGCCTCGCCGCCGATCCACGTTTGGATCCCGTACCATCCACAGGCAACCAATGATCTAAGCAGCGTGGGAATGTGGGCACCGCTAATCCCGAAGGCCGAACGCGCCAGCACCGGAAAAGGTATGCCGTAGCGCGTGCCGGGGTGGCCGGCGAGGATTAAGGTAAGTGATGTGATGATGTTGGCGGCGACGACGGTGGCAACGCCTTGCCACCATGACATGCCCAGTTCAACAAGACTACCGGCTAGATAAAATGACGGCACGCCCACCACTAGTCCAATCCAAAGGCTCGCCATTTCCCAGCCGGAATAAGTCCTCTGGCCAGGCGTCGTGGGTTTGAGTTCATCACTGATAAGACTGGGATCAGGATTGTCTTGGACAAGAGGATCATCGTCAAGCGATCCCGAGGGGATGATTTGCGAATGACTTTCTGCCACGGAAGGTAATTAACTAGCTAGGTGATCTGAGCAGGGAGGGAAGAATGACATATAATTTGGTAGTCGGCAACAAACTAAAGATGTGAGAGGAAATGAGTTTTGGGTGTTGGAAAATTGCAGTATTAGTCACGGTGGGGACGAAGGCTAGGAGTCACAATTCAAAGTGGTTGATCATTGATGAAGGGGGACACAACGAAGAAAAATAGGGGCTCCAACATTTCGGCAAGTATTTACGTGTGGTCTTTACAACAACACAACTTTTATTTATAAAAACCTTAGGTAGCCACGGAGAAAAGACAGATTGTTTTTTTATTATTATTATTATTATTATTATTATTATTATTATTATTATTATTATTATTATTATTTTTATTTATAGAATAAGGGTAAAATAGGCAAGTACAATTATGCTATCGAACTCAAACAAAATGTAATTGGACCATTGAGCAACACAAACTCATGCAATTAGACTCAAAATGAACTATTTACTTAGAATTATGTTGACATTGCGGTTACCTTTTTAAAAAATAATTTTAAATAAAATAATTAATTAAAAAAAAAAAACTAGAATCGTCTTCGGCCGGCATTGTTTCCAGCCATGGAGACGAAGGCCCCTTCGTCTCTTGGCCATGGAGACGAACGAATCTTCGTCTCTATGGCCGGCTATGGAGAGGAACGAATCTTCGTTTCCATGGCTCTCCGGCTGTTTTGTTCTAGTTTTTTTATGTTATGTTATTTTATTTTATTTTATTTTAAATATTAATTAATTATTTTATTCAAAATTATTTTTAAAATAGGAAACCGCCAGCATAGTTCTAGGTAAATAGGTCATTTTAGGTCTAATTGCATGAGTTTGTGTTATTCAGCGACCCAAATTGTATTTTTTTGAGATTGATGATCTAATTACAATTTGGTGTGCAATTGAGTGGCCTATTTGACCCTTAACAAATAGTATGTGTTTGGTTCAAGGTTACATTATTTGTTGGGTTTGGATTGTGGAATAATATTACCATGTTTGGTTAATGGCTATATGAATCAATTTACTATAATATCCTCAATATATATATATATATATATATATATATATATATATATATATATATATATATATATATATATTGTTGGAAAATAGTTTAAAATGACATAAAATGGCATATTAAGTGATTATTTTGTCGTACAATTATTAGTGGGGTCAACTTCCGATTTGGGTCGGGTCAAAGTGAATTCGGGTTCTTCGTAGTGAGACGAAGAGATTGATATATTGTACGCTCAAAACGGATAATGGGTGAATGAGATATTGATTCTCAAAGTAGACCCATTTGAGTTGGAAAAGTGAAGGGAAAAAGCTTGAGAGTAGCTTTTGTCTCACATTGGTTTGGAAAGTGAATTTGCACCACTATCTATACAAGAGCTCTTTTAAAACTTATTGAATTGTATAGTATAAATATTTTTTCTCGCGCGTAAAGGGTGCAAATCAAATCTTCGTTGCTAACAACTTACGCCATATCTCTTCACCCTTATATATATATATATATATATATATATTTTTTGATAGTGTTAATTGCGGTAATTAAAGAACTAAGAGACCAATTAAAGCAAGTAAATAACTCTTATTGATCAATGAAGGCCCTAAGTACAATCTACTTGGTTGCTCTGAGTACCGACTGACTGCGGTCGGGATTCTCTAACAACAACCTATCGATCGTCCAAAAGTCCATCACACTGTCGCTATCGCGGGTATTTATAGCCGCGGAGCCGGAGACACAAATCCGGCCGTTCGGCATGCTTCCCACGTAGCAACCACGTGTCGTCGTCCCGGGTGCCCTGCCTGTCAACGCGTGGAGCCGCCACGTGTCCCTTGTCAGCTCTCTCGCTAAAGGGCTACCGCTCGGTGGTCGACACTGCCGCTCGGGCAACTCCCGGTCGGACCCCGACCGGGTTCTTCACAAGAAACCCGACCTGTTACCTGCAAAGACAAGAAGAAAAAAGACAAAGGTACACCGGTCGGGGTAAAGCTATGTCGGTCGGGATATTCCCTACCAAGAGCCCCCCAGCCCGGGCCTTTTTGACCGTTCGGGAAAAAACGGGACGAGATGAAGAAGCCCAACCGTCGGCTACCAAACCGACCGGCCAGCTGTCATTCCCCTTCTCGCCACGTGTCGGCGACTGCCGGCCTCTGCGACTGCAACGGTCGCCTCGGAATCAGCGCGGGTCACGTCGCGCAAGTGGATTGGCTTCCCGCCCAAATGCTCTCCTATAAATAGGCCCTTGAGGCCCTCATTTGAACTTTCCTCAATCTTCTGAATCAATCGGCACCCTCAGAGAGTCCCAAACGAGCTTTTCAGCAGACCAATCGAGCAACTCTCCTGCAAACTTCTACAAAGTCTCCCTGATCGGTAAGCTCTCTACTTCCTTGCTTTGTTTTTATTTCAAGCTTTGCTTAGTAGTAGGATAACACTAACTCCGACCCAACGTCCCGAGCCCTGTACTAACCCCGACCGACCTTTAGGTAGAAAAGATGTCAGACTCAGACAGCTAGAACGTCTCGGTTGCAGACTACGACGACGAGGTCGAGCAAATCAGCGATGAAGTGGACATCATGTCCTATTCTCCGGAGGTCGTACAACGACCGCAGCAAATCCCCGACCGAGCCCCCGAGCCAGAAAGGTCATCAAGCTCGTCGGGGACGTCGGGGTCGAGCTCCAGCGGGTCGGGGAGCTCCAGCGACGAGAGCGGGAAAACGTCCACGAGCGGACGGAATTCCCCAATCGAAGGCGTTAGAGAAACGCCTACGAGGGTAATAGGGGATTACCCTCAGGTTGAGCCCGAAGGGGGCAACCGGGCAGACGACGCGGAGGCGGTCGAGGAAGACCCAGCCGGGCCGGCGGCGCCAGGCGGGGACGGGTTCGAGTTCCTCAACAGCGAGAGCGTCGAAAACCAGATGAGCTTGCTGACAAAAGGAGAAGCGAGCAGAATCGCTGCAACACTTGCTGGTCGGGTCGAGTTCGACACCAGCCGCCAGCTCAGGAACATCATCGAGAGGCATCGGGGAAAGTGGCTCGGGATGCACTACGACTCACTGATGGCCCCGATCACTTTCCCCTTCTCGGGCCTCCTCACCGCGTTCCTGGGTTACTACCAGGTGGTGCCCGGGCAGATCTGCCCGAACGCGCACCGGATGATCGCGTGCTTCCCGCAGATCTGCGGTCGACACCAGCTGGCCTGCACCATAGAGCTCTTCAACTTCATCTACCAGGTGAAGGTGCTGGCAGCTGCGTACGGGGGCGGATTCCTGATGACCCAGTCCCGAGCAGACATGTGCTCGATCAAGGGGCTGCCTGGGAACAACCGGGGGTGGAAGAACCGGCTGTTCTCGGTGAAGTACGAGCCGTGGATTTTCCTGGTTGAGAGGGTCTGGAGTCAGCGCTTTAGGAAGCAAGTTGTCCCAACCGAGACTCAGGCCCTCAAGGATGCGACGACCAAGATATCCGGGGAGATCTACGAGTATCGGATCTTCAAGACGCCCGAGTCCCTCGAGGCGGCCGACCTGCCCGAGCCAGTATACGACTTGCCCGAGAAGTATAAGCCCGAGCCTCGGGGCGTGACGATTGCAAGGATGCCCGTTCGGGGCAAGCGGAAGGGTAAAGGTTTAACACTAACCATTCCTCCCGACCCTAACACCCCGAACGACCTTACTTTTCCCGAACTAACTGCCTTGTTCTTTTATTTTGCAGAAATGGCAGATTTTGGAGATGACGAAGCTCCTCTTCCCCCGCCCACCAAGATTTCGCTTGGCAAGAAGAAGCCCAAGAGCAAGCCGGCCGGGCAGAAGGAGGTCCCCCTTGCCCGACCGATTGGGGCCTCGACCATCACTACGGCCGAGGGCTTCGTGGTCGAGCCGACCGACGTCTTGGTCACCCGGGTGGAGGTCACCCGAGGAAAAGAGAAGGTGCCCGAGAAGGGCGTAACCAAGGTCCGCGGCATCAAACGCCGGCGAGAGCAGCGAAGCCCGAGTCCTTCGACCGGGCGGAATAAGGGCGACACGTCCATACTGGCCCGTATTGGCAACGCCGGGCCAGCCAAGGAAGATTTGGGGAAGATGACCCCGACCCAGGTGGCCGAGAAAATCGGCTTCGACTTGGCCGAGGTAAGTAATTTCTCCACTTAAGCCTTTTTACACAAGTGTCTCTGACCGGGCTAACTCTGAGCGTCTTTTGTATTGCAGATCTCCCGAGCGGCCCAGCTCCTTCAAGGTCGGGTCATGCTGGCCGACGAGGCCGACCGACATAAGAAGGCCGCCGCCCGATGCCTTCAAGAGGTCAAAGACATCCAGGAGGAGCTGGAGAAGGTCCAGAAGGACCTTAAGAAGAGCGGGGAAGACCGAGTCCTGGCCGAGAAGGTCGCGCAACGGGCGATCGGGGAGGCTGCGGAGCTGAAGGCCCGACTGGAGAACCCGGACGAGTTGGCCCAGTCCGTTTTTAAGGACAACGAAACGGGCTCGGCGTTCCTCAAGGCGGCCCGGAGGACGAAAATCGGGGAAGACCTGATACTGTCGTTCGGTCGGTGGGCCTTCAAAGCCGGGCAAAGAAAAATGCTCAAGAAGGCCCAGAAACGACTGGAGCAGGCCCTTGAGGGAGACAACCTCCAACTGGTTCTGTCTGCACTCCCTCCGGATCTCGCCGACCCCGGTCCCTCTCCGTTCGCCCCAAAGGAAAGAACGGCCAAGCCGAGCGGATCTACGGCGGCCACCCCGAGCGAAGCGGAAGCTTCCAAGAAAGGCGAAGCCAAGGAAGCGAAGAAGTAGAAGCTGGTTGTACTTCTTCTTTTGTAAAGTGACATTGATCGGGAGCCTGATCCCGAGTTTGTACCGGGCACTCTTTTAATTAATTGACATCCATTTTTTGCCCAACTTATGTCGTTCGTTCGCTTTTATTCGCACTTTTATCTTCAATCAAACATGCGTCGAACCCTTAATGCTCGACCTCATGACCTTTTGGCCCGGTCATGCA